TCTTCTTCCTATACTCGCCCAACTTGGATATGAGCGCGTGAAATTGGTCTCGGCTGAGAGCTTTGGTGAATAAGTCTTCTGGTTGGTCAGAGGTAGAGATGTGCTGTGTAGAAATAGTTCCGGCTTGAAGGTGCTGGTGCACAAAATGATAGTCGATGTCAATATGTTTTGTGCCATTGTGAAAGACTGGATTGAATGCAATATGTAGAGCGGCTTTGTTGTCGCTGAAGAGAAGCATTGGTCTAATATGATGGAGGCCAAGATCAGTGAATAGACATTTTAACCATAGCAGTTCATTAGTTGCAACATTCATCGACCCGTATTCAGCTTCAGCAGTTGAACATGCTCGGCTACTTTCTTGTCTTCCATGAGAGAGGTGAATTGCCAAGAAAGGTGATGTAGCCTGTTGTGGATCGTCTTGTAAGTGGATAGCCAGCCCAATCGAAATCGCAGAAACCTCTAATCACGAGGCCATTAGTGGATGACAATAACAGTCCATGATGTAAGGTGCCCTTAAGATAGTATGTGCATAGCAGTGTTCATGGGATTGAGTTGGCTTCTTCATGAATTGACTTAACGTATGCAGGGCATAATTAATGTCCGGGCGTGCGACATTTAGATAAAATCGTCGATAGGAATCTGGATGTGCAAGTGTAGGTCCCTTATCTGTTGCCAAGTATTATTGTTGAGTCATTGGATGTGGACTGGGTTTACATCCTATCATTCTAACATTTTTAAGGATGTCAAGAATATACTTGCGCTGATGCATGAATATGCCGGAATCTGACCTTATGAACTCGATTCCAAAAAAATAATGTAGAAATCCTTGGATCAACAATTCGACTTGGATCATTACCAACAATAAGAAGTTCGCCATCTTGTACATGCTTGCCAAAGACCCTCCCATAGCAGAGACACAGGATCAAACCTGTGGTATGGGTCTCATGTGCACCCTTCTCTTTCCTTGCTCAACTGTTAAGATACCAAAAAAAAATCTTATACATGGTTTTGCACTCAATAAAATACAATATCTACTACTTTAAAGTTCTTTATTTCTGCAATTATCAATGCCTTGTTTATTTATACTCAATTGTTTTATTTCACAATTGGAAAACAAAATCTAGGCCTTGTGAAACACATTTTTTTATGGAGTTTGGGGGCAATTATTTTTCTTTGTGGCCCTTCACTCTTTAAAGAGCCATGCAATATTTTTTGTACAACATTTCTCTGTCGCTTTCTAACTGATGATGTACAATTTTTTATGGGCAGAACTCTTGTCACTACTATTTGGTCTAAAAATTGCAAGTTCTCTAGGCTTTACAGACAGTTTAGTGGGAGGTGAGTCATGCATTATTGTGGAATGTCTAAGACAAAATCCAGCTATGGACTATGGAGATATAGGAAATGGTAAGGGAGAATGCAAATGAAGGACCTAAGGGCTAATGTTGGGTGAGTCCTAGTGAAGGGAATGACATGGTTGATACACTAACCAAACAAGGTGTGAATAGGGATCACATGTTTTGAGGGACTGTAAATAATGTACAAACATTTTAAAGGTCATTATCCAATATTGGTCCCAGTTATCTGTGGTATTGGGAGGGGGTGGACTGGATATGGTCCTAATCTTTGGCATTTTTTTTTTCTTTTGGCACAAAGTAGCTGCTCTGAGACTCAAAACTGCATTTCCATGCCATAGGATTTGCAAAGAGTACACCATTTATTAATTTCCTGTACTGTTGCATCAGATTTGTGGGATTAGCTCTTGATTTTTTGATGCAGGTGGAACAGGCCAGCAGATGTTAGCAGGCTTTTTGACCCTTCTGCCTTTGCTTTGCACCATTAAAGAGGAAGAATAATGTGGAGGATTGCATGAGCAGCACTGCTTTGGACAGTGTGGAAAGAAAGGAATGACAGAATATTCCAAGAAAAGGTGCGATGCCTACAAGATCTGAAGGAATGTATTCTCTACAAGGCTATAATGTGGCTAAAATCTCTGGATTTATTTCAGCAGTTCTCTTTGAAGACAAAGATGCACATGAGCAGGTTACCCCCACCTGAAGGGTTGGAGGGGTTGCAGCTGGTGCCTCTCCTAGTGTATTCTGTAATACTTCCTCTTGGTTCTGAAAGCCCGAGGTTTTATCCTTAAGCCAAGTAATGGCCCTAATGTACAAACATTTTAGTATATCACTTGTACTAACCTTACGTTCTTTTCCATATATTTATAAAAAAAAAGTGTTGGTATAGACCCTTGGTGGCAATGTGCTGGTTGCTAAATTTCAAAGAGATTAAAAGCAGTTAATAATACTTATTATTTCATTAGTATTAGGGCCTGGGAGGATTTTTGTCATCGGGTTTTTAATTCTTGATAGACTCTGGAATGGGAATCCCATTCCCCCCATTCTCCCTAGAATGGGAATCGGAATCCCATTCTTCTTACCGGAATGGGCCATTACTTTTCCGATTCCAGGCACCTATTCCTGGAAACGAAATGGACCTTAAATATAATGATGGCTCATGGGGTGTCTAGTTTACTCAGGCTGAAAATTCTTCTCTGTGATCATTTGAAGCACCATTAGATCTTGACTGGCAATCAGATGGCTTTTGACATGGCTCACAGTCCTGTTCAATATGACTGAACCAAAGATATTGAGTCGATATATACATTTGACCAAGAAAATGGTTTTTCCTGAAAAAGTATGTCCACCCTTTGTGAGGTCAAAGTGTTGACTTACTGATGTACTCAGAAAAGAATGGTAAGAATGTAATGTTATATACACCTACCTTTCTAAACATTGTCCATTGGTGGTATTGGGAAACTACTTTCTTACACTTATTTATATATTCTATGGTTTCCCACGATGAATTGCTTAACAAGTTTACCTCTCCATGTAGATTTCATTTTGTCGTTATTTAATGTTTCCTTTTAAAGAAAAATGTTTGTCCATACTACTATTTTGGTTTTAGTTGTTTCTTGGAAGGCTAACATTTGATTTTTAATTTCTTTAGTAAACACTAGATTTTTGTCATTTGATGAACAACCAATTGCTGCTGCATTAATTGCTCAAGTTAACCATGCATTGTTGAAAGATAATCAGAAGTAGCCATTAAGGTTTGTTTTTTATTGGGCCCTTATCGAATCCATGTGGATTGATTGTACATAATCTCTTTGTACAATGTCGTTCTTATTTGGTAGGGTTTTCAAAAAAAAAGTTTTTTTTTTTTTAATATTTGGAATCAGCATAAGAAAAAGAATTTTCATTTTTTTGACTTCTGTTGTGCATTGTGTTTCATATTTTAGTCATAATTGCAGTGTAGGTCATAACTTTCATTGAGATATTTTAGTTGGCGTTTAACAAAATGGAAAAAATATCTCAGTTGATAACGAACAATTTTATGATGCAAAGCTGCTATTTTTTTATTGGCAAAAGTGAAACATCTCATCCTTATACCAACTATATGAGGTTCGCTACATGAATACTGTTTTACTAATCCATTTTATTTCATGTCATATCAACTGTAGAACTTAACATATATAAATAACAACTTCAGACGTTGTTTTGCCATGAATCCTGTGCACAATATGGAAGGGAGAATCAGATCTTTTATTAACAGGAGGGTATGAGCATTCCAATGTACAACAGACAATGACTAGAACAAATATGGAAATAACAACTTCGGTGGATTACTATTTTACCTTTTGTTCTATTCAACCCATTTTTTAATATTTCAGAAATCCCCCTCAAAACCCATTTTTTCAGCTTCCTTGAAATACCTTCAAGCAGTACAATGAGAGCAAAATGTCTCTCAACCTGTAAAGATCTTATATACAAGGCAGTTGGGTTCTTAAGGGTATTTTAGACATTAAAGTATGTTTAATAAGGCTGAGTTTTGGACTGGCATGGGGTTCCCTTGACACTTTGAAAAGTTATGGTGAGTTTAAGGGAAGTGCTGAAAAGTTACGGTGAGTTTTAGACAATTTCCCTTTTTTTCTTGCTTCCACGTCATTTCTACTCTCCAAGAACGGGATCTGTGCCTCACATGCACATCCACCATGCATTGGGAACATCTCCTGTGAATAATAACTTTTAAGTACGGAAGATGTTCCCCTCCATATATTACCCACCAAGCCAAGTCAGCATCATCTCAAACCTTCACACAGCTCTATAAGCGCATCAGCTTCGGTTGCCACCCAAACTTTATGTCAGACTCATCACAAGTTGGACGGAGGGCCCAGAATGTTTGGGGTGATATACAGTCTTCTCATTATAGGAAGGATACTAGTTTTCAACCATAATAAGATCTTCATTGGTGGTTTACTTGCAAAGAACAAAACCATTGTAATCATACACTAATACTTGTCAATGAAACTCTTTTTGAGACTCTTCTTTTATTCCAATGAATCGTCAATATTCCTTCCTATGTTTTGCATAATGTAATTATTTTTAGGGAAAATTACTGATACATACCCTGTACTTTAGGCCGAATGCTAATTTAATACCCAATAAAATGCAACAATCTAATATCTGAACTATCAGTTTGCGACAGTTTAGTAACTGACGTTAGTTAAAAAGACAAAAAAACCTAAATACCCTCAATTATTTCGACTAATGTATGAATTACAAATTAAAATTACAAAAATACCCCATCATGTATTTCGACCCATTGCATGAAGAATTTGTTCAATGTCCTAGGGACCTCAAAATTGTAAAATTGCTCTCGAATTTTATAAAGCATATTGGCAAAGTGGACTAGCTTAGCTTGCATGTGGGTAGTGTACTACTTGGACTGATGACACGCATGTGGGAAGAAACATTCATGTCCACCCTATTACATGCTGGAAGCACAGCATAGCAGCCGTCTACCATTTCACGTAATCACGCTTAATAACCACGGTTGGGAAGCCGCATACAAAGACAGGTGTGATGACTGATGAGTAAACTCAAAAGATTTCGTCTCATATGCTATTAGATATGGGAACGGACTAAATGAAGAACCCATGCTCTTGTTGAACTACAGTCCTTCAATTACGGATTTCTAGTACTCGCAGAATTTGGAATATATTTGAAACCAGGATACAAACACATTCTTGAAACAGTCGAGGCTATTGAATACAAACAAAAAACAACATAAACATCCACAAAATCGATACCCCCTCCAAAAAAGAGGGCCACACTGGACTGGGACCACAGTTCTGAAGTAGAAAAAACATGCACATGACAACTTCAATTATGTTTTAGGTTGAAGTTCTATTCCTCCGCATTCTCATTTTCATCTTTGACAAGCTTGATCATGTCATCTATCCGCAGAATTGTAATGGCAGCTTCAGTAGCAAACTAGAAAAAAAAAAGGAGAAACGGATTTAGATATCAATTGTTGAGAATAACGGCCATGAACTGATTTACTTCAACAGGTTATAATCTTTACCTGCAATATCTTCACCTTGCTCATTGCAGGTTCAATGACTCCAGCTTCTAAGTTGTTACGGATAGTTCCCTTTGAGAGGTCAAGCCCCATGCTGCAACACAGGAGGAAAAAGGGAAAGGTGAATTTACACTGCAGCAAGGCACTATACCAATAATAAAAAGAAAACAATTGCAGACTTGAGATGCAGATTTTCATCAGAAGGAAACAGTGAGAATGTCAAAAGTAAATTAGACAGATAAAACAGGCGTTACCTTTTTTTTTGGTATTATAGCCTGAACAGGCATTACTTAAATAGATTGCATGATGTGGGAAAAATCCTGGCTGTTTGTAAAAAACTACCCAGGCTGTTTGAAAGCTTCTTGCACATGACACATTGCCATCGATGTGGGTAAAAGAGTAATTGCTCTCACTTTTTTAAGCAAAAAGACAAGCAAGGGACTGAGTGGGGGTAACGTGTCATGTGGAGGAAGCTCCAAACAGCGAAAGTTTGCCCCACAATATCTTTCCTTGTGGCAGCAAGTATAGCAAGTTAGCAACTCAAATCACTTTTAGAAACTGAAAGATCTATACCATTTTACCATAAGATATTCCTAACATATGGAGAAGAAACCTATTCCCATTCTTTACAGACTATAAAGAAATTTTGGCTTGGGATGGTAATGCAACAACAAGAGGGCCTTGGACATAACAATTCAAGCTGTCATGCATGGTCTTCATGCACAAAAGCGTGAGAAAAGTAGGGTCATTTAATCACTGAAAAACCATCACCATAATCCCAACCTTGTGCTCTGCTTAAACAGAGGCCTACAAAGTAAAATAAGAAAGGGAAAAAAATACCTTGACAGGTGCTGTTTATCAGCTTTGGTTTGTGCAGTGTGATGATATGCCCGAAGCTTTGCAACCAATTCTGTGGCATCCTTTGCAGCATTTACAGCAAGAACCTGCACCAAATACAGGCATCATCAACTTAGATTRTTMTAAAACGGATATGAAATAAATAACAAACAAAATAAAATTAAATGATATTGGTTCAAAGAGAACCTTTGGTATAATCAAAAGGGATTCAGCAAATTCTGCAATTGCCAACTGTTCTCGGGATCCCAAGGTTGTTGCAAGATKCTCCAAGTAGACAGATAAAGCAGCTTCAACCGCACCACCACCAGCTACCACCTACATCACCCCAGGTCATGGAAATGAGAAATAGGACGCAGAATGATGTTTCATAGTAATTATGAACAAATTTCTTTTGGACTATATCCTACTCTCATTTTACACAGCATCAAGGAATGTAATGTTTTTTTTTTTTTTTGATGAATAAGGAATGTAATGTTACTCACCTTCGAAAATGATCAGGGCCAGGCTAAGAATAGAAGCATAATTTTATCCAAGGTCTACATGGGTTTCTGATATGCTGGGCCACCAGCAGTCCAAGCCCAAGAAATAATTTATAAGCCAAAACCTACGATTTTGGGTTTTCCAACTTTACATAAATTACTGGAGCTGGTTTTGGCAGTCCTATTCTTTTATTTATTTAATTCTACCATCTCAATTTGTTATTTTTTTTTAAAGTTCTATGCTGTTTTAAATAGAGCCCTAGACAAATCCTTACCACACTCATCAAACCCTGTGTCCCTACTTATGACATTTTGGACTAATATGAAAGTTCTTAGTCGTTTCTGTACCAATCCCCTAAAACCTATACTAAGCCCAACCAAATACCTGAATTTTTCATCCTACTTTTTGAGTGGTTACTTTTCCATCCAGATTCAACCTTGGGTCATCTAAATAGGATTTCTTTACATCAATTTACAGTCACACTGACAGGCTTAAACTCTCACCTTTAGCCTGGATAATAGCCCCTATTACCCAGAACCTGTGGATTGGCTACACGTTCAACTAATCAATTATCCATATAACAATCCTATAAGCCACCTTTTGTCGGAGTTTCTCAATGTCATATTAGCCATCCAAAACTTCAATCTTTTACCTTAAAATATTTGACTGCTAACCTTGGACATATAGCAAGGATCTTTAGGTGGTGGATATTTGTCACATGATTATGGTATAGAGAATAAGATGGACCCTCAATCAAATTGCCGTGCAGAAGAATCCCAGGTTACTCAGGCATGTCAAAAAACTGATCAGCAGACGTGATATTATCTGTTTATGTTTTGGTAGCTGATAAATATGGAAGTACTTCTGAACTGTTTTAGTGTATATAAGGTTTAGCTAAATATAGTAACAAGGATAGAACTTATAAACCTTATGTGCAAAGAAAGTCCATCAACTGGTTGTGCATCCAAAAGACAAGGAAATAGAACTATTTGAGAACCGGACTGCACATATATACTGAAAGTCACATGAATACTATATATAATATATTTTCCAAATGTTATTATACTTTGAGTCTAAGGGATAGATGGTTAGTTCCTTAATTTGTAGGGATTTTTATAGTTCAGTCCACCTCAGAAAACTGACCCCCAGGTCAGATGAATCCTGCCTGTGGATTGATGTGGACTGCAGTCCACTTATCCCTAATTTGTAAAGCAAATGACCAGGGTTCAAGCCTCTCAACTCACATTTTCTTTAAAATGCGGGTGTATTAAAGCAAATATATACATTAAAGAGGCATAGAGTAGTGGGTTAATGGTAACAAGATAACGTACACAAAATACCATTGGTATTTTGAATCCTTCATTCATTAAGTGGCTGGGCAGTCTTATAAAACCGGGACTGTTTCACCGGTTAAACTGAACGGTCAGACGATTTTGACCACTTTTTCTTGAGTTGTGACCTTGTGGGTTTTAGGGTATGACCAAACCAACAAGGGGTCCAGATCATGATTCAACCAGTGCAACCAATTGGTCCAGTCCGGTTTTCTAAACACTGGGAAAAAGACCTGATACAAAAGAATAATACCACACATCCTTCAACTCTTTCTTAACAAGACATTTGCAGGACTTGGAAGTCTTTGGAACCGATATTTAATGGAGACGGTATACATTCTATGAATACGTTCCGACTTGCTTTTTAATATCCTCCTATTTCCTTCAATCAATAATCCCCAAATTACTACGAAAGAGAGGTAATGGTCAATAGAGTTGGAATCATTTTTTAAGGAAATAGAAACATCACATACGTCTCAAAAACATTGTTGAACTGGTGACCTGTCCAATCAATTGATCCAGACAGTTGAAGTGGTGACCTGTCAACCATTGACCCAGATGGCTGAACTGGTGACCTGTCCACTTGGAAGGAAACCAATTCAACCTCTGCATCAGTTTTTAGAACATTAAAACTGATCACAGTTCTTCCACATCAGCTACTAGAAAGAGTGCAACTACTGCAACATGTACATTATTTAATGACCAACTCCCCCCACCCCGACCCAACTTACCTGCAGAAAAACAGGGCCTAAGAAGTGGCCAAATGGGTTCTAGTGAAGTTTCATTCCTAACAGGTAGAATTGATGGTTCAAACATGGAATCTTCCCTACAACAAGTTCATGTTTAATAAGGTTAACATCTTCCAGTCTAGCTGAATAGAATGTGAACAAGTCACTGGTTTAACCATCTGGTTCAATGGATCGATCCATGATGTCACTCAAGATAATAAAAACATCTCAGAAAAATAAAATAATAAAAAGACCTGGTAACACAGTCAACAAGTTGAGCGGCTGAATGGTTCAACCATCTAGGTTAACAGGTATGTTGAACCAAACCGGAATTGCACCTTGGTCACTGGCCAACCGGCAGGTCAATAACAGGTTGAAAAACTGATGGATGTGCCCAACAGGGAAAAGATGTTCCACACAGGAAGTTGAATACATGATTTGAAAGTAACTTGTAGGGAAAACTGAATTTCAAATCTTAAAATATTGTCTCAATAGAAACAGTAAGGAGTCTAGGCTTACCACATTGGATTCAAGAGTTCTCTTGACAATGCACAACGCATCATGCAAAGCTCGCTCCATCTCATCCAGCATGTAGTCATTTGCACCTCTGAGGATGACAGAGACCTATGGAGAAAAGGAGATAGCCAAAGAAAGTTAAATGAAGAGAAGTCACACCATATTAAATATCTATATTAAGTAAAAACCATGTCAACATTTGAACATCTAATATTAATAACTGTAAAATCCTCAACATATTATTTATAATTCATATATTATATGCATTTCTAGTACTTATCTTATATATTTAAATTTTATTTATAATATTTATTATAAATATTAAAAAGCTGAAAAATCAAACTGATCAGTTTCGGTTAACAGTTTTCAAAAACCGGTGGTACTGGCTCAGTTTGGAAAATAGGCCCACGATCAAGGTTTAAAGTATCAGAAATGTAAGGTGTATCGGAAAGATAATTTTAAGAGATGTAATGGGATATGCTTTGAATACATATAGGTACGGACGAAAATCAAGATACACATAAATATGCTAAAAAACTCAAATAAATCCTAAAAATATATTAATAACGATAGTTACAAGTTTTATATGAATGTAAATAAGTTACTTAAAAGTAAAAAAAAAAAAAAACTGTAATTTAATGGTCTATATAAAATTCAAGATATCGGGACACACTTAGTAACTATTCACAAATGATGGAATAACTAAAACATGAAAATATTACATTATCTTTTATGTGAAGTTTGTGATTCAATAAATATTACATTACCTTTTCCAAAAAAAAATAACTATAACATGAAAAAACAAAAAAAAAACTAAAATGTATATTGATATATATATATATATAAGTTTTAAAACAATCAATATATATTATCTTTATATTTATTAATACATAAATTTTAAAAATTAATTCTAACATTTATTGATAAGCATACACTAAGAAAAAGAGAAAATTTATTTAAAAATAAAAATGCATAAACCTATAACAAGCAAATGTGCGTGGCTTAGTGGTGAACCTCTAGTTGTTAAAGCCTAATGTCCAAAGTTCGAATCTTGCTATTGCTAAGTTTGTAGTTTTATACTAACAAAACGAATTTAATGAGAAAGAGGGTTATTAATTAACGAAATTAATGATGAGAAGAGAATTCCAATTAGGCACTAAAATTGAAATTCAAATTTAAAATTATGCATTAATTACAGGAGTAATTAACTAATTAATGAGAAAGAAATTGCACTTAACTATAGGAGTAAATATAAAATTAATGAGGTAATTCGGCCATAAATATAATTTAATGAAATTAATGAGAGAGAAGGGGACTTGTATCAAGCTGTATCGAACTGTTTCGGAACCGTATCGCCCGATACAGACACGAAACAGTCCGACACAGGGCCCGATACAGACCAATACATACAAAAAGGAACGCTACAGATTATTTCTCTGTGTTCCGTGTATCGGACTTATACCAGAACAATACGTATCGGCCAATACGGTCCGATACATTGTGAAACTTTGAACCTTGGCAACGATTCAATTGACCTAACTGTGAGCACTCCTACAAGGTATAAGCTTAGGTATTATCCTTGCTCAGCCATTGAAGATAAAGCACAATGATTAATTAGTCAAAGACAGCTTCTTACATCCTAATATAATTATGAGATGGTACATGAAACAGTCTGTATGCACCGTCCTAAAGGCTAAAAGTTCACAAGAATCCATGCTAATATGCTAACATCCAAGATGGGTGCATAATTCCTCAGCTCCTGTGAACCTAGAGTACACCACAGGTCATACAGAATATTTCAATTAAAAGCCTGAGTTTATCTAATACTAATTGTGGTCTTGGGTTTCGCAAGGCAATATCTAAAAGCAAGGAGATTGGAACACATGTGTAGGCAGGCAAACCTGTTCCAAAGGAATTTCCAGGCTGGAATTTCTGTTATTAGGGATACAAACTCAGAAAAAGGATTGCAAGGCCTTTTTTCCCCTTCTTTTTTCAGGTGGCGGATAAAAAGGGGAAGGACAATGTGGAGAGGACTAAGGGCTGCAGTGTGTTGGACACTTTGGGAAGAAAGAAACTCCAGGATATTCTCAGAAGCTCAGAGAGGAGGAGCAGATCTGAGGGCTATCATTCA